AGACAACATTCGTATAATCAAATAAACTATTAAAGTGTTAATTAACTTCGCAGATTTACACCATTATGCGGGGTACACACGGGCGTAATCTATACTATTATAATAAAGCGTAAACACACACTTTGTTTTATATGTCAGCAATTACAGCATAGTTTTGAATAATTCTTTCTTTAATAAAAAGCCCTACGCTTACGTCACGCTTTAGGCTATATATTTTCACGCTATATTTTGGATAAAATAATGTGGGAAAGAGACCATAAGTTGCTGCCAACATCAAGGAAACAAGATTGCCAAGGTTTGTCATGTCATGTCATTTTGACATTTTTTATCAATATGTTAATAAAATATTCATAATTTCATGAGGATGAAGCCGCACTGGAACAGATAGTTACTCGACAAACTACTCAATCTCGAGCAGACGATTGCATATTTTGCTTGGCTTTGGAGCATCTTTGACTAAAATATCGCACAACTGATAAATCTTTGAATCCTAGGAGCTTATATGGTGTGTATACTACTAGATTAGTTGTGCTACTAAGCAGTTGAATTGGATCCGAAACAATCGACAATCACAAGTTATTACAATTTACAAAAAATAAATTCAAGCTTGCGTTCGTTGCTCGAGTAGATCTAATAAGTGTGTACCCACCATTAGGGCATAGTTATCCGGATAGCCCATAAAGATAGGCGACTTAAATCCAATCAGACTGTACTAATCAGTTATTTAAACTAAACATAAATGTCATTGAAGTATCGACGCCATGACGACGAATATAAATTTTTCCGATGCTTGACGGTGTATTAGGTCATAAATCAACTAGATTAGCCTATTTCAGTCTAGGTTAATTATAAAATAAAAATAGATATAGTGCGGCAAAACTTTACTGACCCGGTAGGAGGATATTGCGGTTAGCGGCTAGTCGCCGATGGGGGGAGCCATTAACAAATTTTTGAAGTCTCATCGAAACCCCCCATCCCTACAGATTACTGCTCCTGGTGACGCCTATATCGGTTAGTACTCTTAGAAAATATTTAAAATACATGGTAATCTTACTAATATAATAAATGCGTAAGTTTAGATGGATAGATGTATGGATGTTTGTTAGAGTTTGTAGCCTAAATTGCTGAACGGATCTCGAAGAAATTTGACGAAAATATAGAGGATAGTCTGGAAGCACACATAGGCTACTCACTAATTTATTTTAATTTAACCCAGACGAAGTCGCGGGCGAAAATTATATAGATAAAAAATATCTACCATGCGACTAGTTTGTTTTAATTAACACATATTTGATTGACAATAAAGTAAATTAGTTT